AGAGAAGCAGTCAATAATGGTTAGGATAGTGGTCATACCTTTAGAAACTGGGAGTCCAGTGACGAAGTTGATGGAAATGTGTGACTAGGAAATTTTGGGGATCGATAGAGGTTGCAGAAGACTTGGATGGAGGTTGATGGGATGGTTTATTTCTAGTGCAGATGGAACAGGCAAGGACGAATTATTTTATGTCTTTGTGGACTGATGGCCACCAGAACCTGTGGTTGATGAGAACGATTGTGCGGCTGATTCCAGGGTGAGCTGAAAACTTAGCTGAGTGGATCCAATGGATGAGATGTGTTCGGACTGAGGTAGGTACATAGATTTTGTTATGAGGGAAGGTGCCAGGATCAGGTCCAGTTTGTTGTGCTTGGCAAATGAGGTCTTCAGTCTCCCAAGTAACAGAGGTGATGGTGCAGCGGGGAGGTAGGATGGCAGGTTCTCTCTCAGAATCAGGTTAGTGGAGTCGGGTTTGATGTTCTTGGAACCAGGGCGATAGGAAATGGAGAGTTTGAATCTGGAGAACAACAATGACCAACGGGACTGATGGGGGTTTAGTCTTTTGGCAGACTGGAGATAGGAGAGGTTCTTTTATCAGTCCAGACCAGCACGGGATGTTCTGTGCTTCCAACCAATGCCACCACTTCTCCAGGGCAAGCTCAACAGCTAGCAGTTCACAATCTCCCACATCATAATTGCGTTTAGCAGGGGACAGTCTGCGGGAGAAGAAAGCACAAGGATGGGTTTTACTGTCCGAGTCAGAGACGGGTGTGACCTATTTTCATGGGCTCGGACTCAGAGTGGTTCAGGAGAGGAGATGGAGTGCAAGTTGGAGAGGTGGAAGGAAGCGATGGGTTTCTCTTGTTTCTTTCCTTTGTTCTGGCTCGGAGTCTGTTATCTACTTGGATAGTTAAACTGATTAGTTCTTCTAACGTTGTAGGTTTGTCTAATGTGGCTCGTTCATCTTTTAAAGACTCATTGAGAGCATGGAAATAAGCATTCTTTAAAGCAGGAGCATTCCAGCCAGAAACAGCCACTCTAATCCTAAAGTCTATAGCAAAATCTGCTACTGACCACTGTCCTTGTTTTATCGTCCATAATTCTCAGGAGTTGGATGCTTCATTGGACTTTTGACTAAATACTTGCAGAAAATCATTGAATGTACAACCAAAGTTTGTAGGAGTTGGAAATCTTGCTTTTTGCCCAGTCTAAAGTTTGGCCTGTCAACAGTGAAACTATGAAATCTATATTAGCACCATCATAGGAGAAACTTCCAGGGGAATGACTAAAAACAAGAGAGCACTGTGAAAGCAATCCCTTACATTGGTTTATGTCACCTGGAAACTTGTCTGGGGTAGGTGGACGGATTTCAGAAAAAGTGGAGTGGCCTGGAAACGGAGCTGGAGCTGGAGCGAATGTCTGTTGGAGAGAACTTTGTAAAAGGTTAGACAGTTCTTTGAGACGACGATTTGTTTCAACTTGGTGGGTACCCAGATCTCATAAAGCAGAATCATGAGACTGAATGAGGTAGTGTTCTGCCAAAGTTCTCCAGAGAGCATCTGCAGGACTTGACTGTTGGCCTGAGTGTTCTGTCATGTTGGTTTCAAATCTTTTTACCCACATACTGAACACAATCAGAAGAACAGGAAATCAGATAAAGTTTATTTTGACAATGATGAAATGTGAAATTGTGTGGTTCCTGTGCTGTGGATGGAAGTCAGGGTCATTGGTTCTCAGTGGGAGACAGTGGGAGAGAGAGTGAGTTGAAGGGGTATCGGACAAATGAACTTCAGAGGAAAAGATAGACTGATCTTACTTGGTGTGGTGATGTGTTTCCGCCAGGGGGGATTTACTGTGGTCACCGGGGTAGTGGTCTTTTTGCAGGGGTTCTTTAGATGTCCCAGGTTCCAGTGTGAGATCCAGACGGAGAGTTAATTAGAGGTGAATGGGAGAGGCTGCGGTGTAAAGTGGACAGGTAAGTGCTTTAGAGGAGAGGTGAGGAGTGATCTTACTGCCAACTGTGAAACCAGGAACTGTCAACGATTCTTCAGCAGAGGCAGAAAGGGATTCAGGCAACTAGGGCTGGCAGCCCACTAATCATATACTCCTAGATGATGAGTGATAGATCACAGGTGCGCTGACTCCAGTCAGCAGACTTGCCCTCCAGGTAGTGCAGCCTCTAGGCACCATCTAGTGGATGATGAGGGAAACAACAGACAAAAAGAAAATCCCCACAAAGAGCCAAAACCCCAGTTCCCCAACAGTTGTAAAGTTAAGCAACATTGGTTTCCAATGATTTTCGAGGATATAAATATTTTAACATGCTATTTTTAATAAAATACCAACTAAAATGGCTGGGGGTTTTTTTTCTTCAAATTTGACATACCTTTTGCATTATTTCTTATGGATAAGGATCAAAGTGAAACTTTGCCCTTCATGTGTTATAGACTGGAATGAAAAGACAAGTGGAACTGATGCGTGTCTAGAATGACATTTGTGATGCATAGCGAATGCAGTAGAGAACAAATTTCCATTATGTTTACAACCACATGAGTTTAAATAACAGTGTGAACTACAAGATGAAAGTTCTGGTGCTGTGATTGAATGGTAGCCTCCCCTCTGTCAGACTGCCCAGGGCAGCTGTGGTTACAATGTAAATCAATGCTATTATTGTGTGTGAATGTGTGTATTAATCTGTAAATGACTGATTCTAGTGTAAAGCGATTTGGGCTTTTTGGATGTGATAAAACTCTACACTACACTACTCTACTTAAGATTATTTAGAATTATAAACCTTTGGTTTTGAATGTTTCTTCCTGGTCAAATATTTGGACACAAGTAAATCAAAAGGTTTAATCTGCTTGGGATCTGAACATGTAGACTCAGGATAATCTATACATGAAAAGGTTGACCTGCAAACCTTGACCACTTAGCTTTATGAACCACATATGTGTGGTGGTCTTCTTCTCCATTCTGTGTGTTGCATCTTCTCTCTAGCGCTGTATCAGCAGTCCTGTGAGGAGTATAAGCATCAGGGTAAGAGCTCAGGCAACTTCTGGATTGACCCTGATGGTAGTGGCTCTCTATCCCCCTTCAGAGTTCACTGTGACATGACAGGTGAGATGTTTAAGCTAGAATAATCAGAATTAGTACAGAGTTGGTAGTAGAATAATCAGAGCACAAGTTAATGCTCTCATATACAGTGATCCCTAATTTTTCGTGCATATACAGTGATCCCTAATTTTTTGCATTCCAAAAATAACCCGCGATAAGCAAAATCCGCAAAGTAGAGTTACCTTTATTTTTTACGATTATTACACAGCATAATTAAATACTCTACATTGAAACCAAAGAACAAAACCTGTTTTCAGGTCAGTGGATGTGCGTGTGCATCAATCGGGCCTTAATGTGATCTGGAGTCATGTCATTAAAGCGTCTCCTCCAACCTGCCCCGCGAGATTCACAGCTGTATCTACAGAGCAATGGATCTCGTCAAGCGAGCCTCCAGTCGGGTTTTACGCTGATTCTGGCCAATTTTTTTTCCAGCAGGCATTCAAAGTTTCAGTTTTCATCTCCTGAATGGCCAAGCTATATTACTTATATTTAAATACTGTAACATTATTGGCACAGAGGTAGAGAAGAACCGCAGAGACTGTTTAGCCAATCAGGACACAGAACACAATGCACTGTGAAAAAAACTGCACAAAAAAATTCTGCGAAGCAGCGAGACTGTGAAAGGTGAACTGCATTATAGTGAGGGATCACTGTAACTTGTTTAGCTGTGCACAATGTAACAAGCTTACCTATGCTTTTTAGTGCCCATTTAGTCCTTTGTCTCCATATAATGTATTTTTATGTATGTTTGTAAAGCAATGATAGATTTCTTTTCATTTTTGTCTTTTCTTTTATGTTTCTTAAATCTATCATAAATTTGTCTTGTTTTCCAGATGAGTTGCTATGCATAAAAATAATTGAGCTTTTTATGTAATCTTTTAGACACAATGGTTTGGACCACTCTAAGGAACAACATGTCTCCTCAGACGTCAGTTTCTGCTGCAGATGAGGATGGAAAAGCAGTACTTCCAATTACTTACAATGTCACTGATGAACAGGTATATAATGCCTGCTAAAATTTAAATGACCTTTTAGACTTCTCTTACTTTAAGTAATCTCACTATACTGTCTGTTAAAGACCTTTAAATGGTGAAGTTTTTTCAACATACGTTAGTGCAGAGGTTTCCAAACTGTGG